AAGGTGCGCGGTATCTAATAGATGCACGTTATCCATAAATTTCAACGAGCAGATGAAACTACAAATTGAGCGGTATGCAAAAGACGTGCGTTATCAATGGGAAAATATGGTACATGCTTTATTATTCCACTGTGCATTAAAGTTTTTCTTCGTCAACTGCTAGTGAACGCGTGCTGTTTTTTGCGCACTTTACAGTATATTTGACTGGTTATAGATATCATGTTGTGGATCAGATGATTACATGAATGACATCTGAAAAGCTGTTCTTGATATATTTCTGGTATCGCTACCAATCCATAAAATTATGCACAGCTAATTAACTATGTAGTAGTTATTACTTCGCTTACTTTTCACAAGCTACATGAATAAATAATGATTCATTGATGTTTTATTTACCGCTGTATGCCAACATGTAAATGATTTTTTATAAGAGAATAACCGTATGAGAAATGTAACGTTAAAATTTCTCTCTTAAGTGCTACGAATCTTTCAGACTTCCCGTCTGATGCAATGGTAATGCATAGGAAGAGGGAACACCGTGTGTAGCTATATGACATAGTTGTCATCTCACATATCTGAGTGCCAGGCGGTGTGTCGTCAACACTAGATAGACGTTAATTTTACAGTAGGCAACTGTTTGTGATTGTCGTCAACGCATGTCCAACGTTATTCAAGAAGCAGATTTGTCCACAATTTTCAACTTTATCCGACCTCATTGGCAAACAAGACTTGGGTCATCTTTCTTGAGTGCAATCCAATCTGTGCACAGTAAATTTAATCTTTATGCGTCTTATATGCAGCAGCCATATGTCTTGCAGATCATCATGCGCCAAGGCCAATCATAAATTTCAAAATGATCGGCAGTATGAAGGTGGTAACAAAATGAGGGGCTAAAAAACGCTACTAATTTAAAATGCTGACTATATCTATTACTGATCTCAAACGAGAGCGCGATGGACATTGTTGCATCATGCAGTCGCTTTGGACAGTAGTCAACATAACTGTACATTGTACGTTAACCCTGAACCACATTAGCAGGTAAACAGTAAATGTATGAGTGAGCCTCATAGTTATTTAAAATGTCGGCGATGAAGAGTTTCACCCACTTGTCTCACAGAATGTGACACAGTTGGACGACGGCAACATAGCAGTACGATCTTTCGCAAAGAGAGTGAGTTATTCAACAGGGTAATCAACAAAGGCGAAGGAAGGTTGCGTTCTTAATGGATACGACTCGCAAATTTTTAGGCTGACAGCATCTGTACGAATTATCATTTGCTGTGGCTTCAGGTTAGAAACACTCTGAAGTTTGGCGCTCAGGTATTCAAAGGAGTGTGGTAGCATAGTAAATAATGACCGACTTCAAACTCAGGAGGTGCCGAGTTCGAATCAGCTCACGTGACAGTTTTTGTCTTAACCGCTAATTGCCTTCAGCAAAGAACTCACCCTGGCAACTGGC